AGGTCAAAGGGTTGTATAGGTTCTTGAAAATTGCCATTACACACGTTACATCCTGTTTGTTTCATCCGTACAAAAACAAGTTTAAAAATGACAATTTGTCGTGTTACGGTGGGATTTTGCTCTCAATTGTTCTCTGGTTGTCTGGCAACTGCTCAGAGCCGAGATTTAGTACGCTAAATATACGCTGCTATGTTTACCGTGTTTAGTCCATATTTACACAGATTTTCACATGTTCGCGTAAATGGTTTCCCATGTTGTAACCACAAGCTCAAATATCCACTTACTAGTAATTAAACAAACACAATATTAACATGTTAAATAGTGATGACTAGAGCTGCAACAGTCGATGAACCAATTAGTCAAACAACAGAAAAATAAGCTTGATTTTCAATTGTTTAGGTAACTTTTTAAGCAAAAATCTAAATATTTTATTGGTTTTCTTTTTTTTCCTATGATAGTAAACTGAATAAGCTTCACTAACTACCTGCTCTCATTCAGCATTTCTTTCACATCTTTCTGAACACAAATCAGCATCCAAATCAGCAGTTACAATTAGAAAATGAAACCAATGTGATTTTAACAAAGTTAAAGGCACAATGTGTAGGAGTTGTGCCCTCCTCTCCGGCTCAATCACACCAGGAGATCAGATGCTTCCTCTTGGACGTGTGCTTATGACCTGGCATCTGGCCGCTATGTTTTTCTAGAAACCGGCCCTCACTCCTTGGCCAGAGGCTTACACACCCACTGCCTAAAGGTTGATGCTCTAAAACACAGCGAAATAAGAAAATACAGACAGAGGGGAGAGTCTCTGTAGATACAGACACCACCACACACTTCTAGTGGGTCATAAGTGATGATTGACAGCCACAGACCTTTTTTACAGCAGCCATTTTGACATGAACTAGTCGGGTAAACACAGGTGTTACCAATGATACTAATTAAAGTTCCAGTGAGCCAACATGCACAATAGTAGCACCCTGACTGTTTGTCCTGTGTTGGATTGAACTCTAATATTGATGTATACCTAATGATGATTTGTGTCCCAATTCTGAGCATGTAATTGGAAATATATGATCTTTTGTGGAAAACATTCTTATAAAAACTAGTTTAAATAGAGCAATCTGTTGCAAGTTTGCTATTATGTGCACAACAACACAACAATCGTCCTACTTCGGACAGAGCCAGGCTAACTGTTCCCCCTCGTTTCCAGTCTTTATGCTAAGCTAAGCTAACCAACAGCCACAGGCTGTATTTTCAAATACGAGTATTTCTTGATATATTCCTTTAACGATCTCCTTCTAACAAACTACATGTTGCCGATTCCCCCACATTCCTCCTATTCTCTTCAACTCTTGCTTCATCAGAATATGGAAAGCAGCACCTTTTCTTCCAAATCCCGCTCTAACTGGGACAGCACACACATAAATACCCACGCTTGCACACACCGAACAGGGCTTTGAAGTATGACTCAGTGCAGTGAACGGTGTAAGTCTCTGCAGAGTTGCTGTTTGCCGGATGAAAGATCCCTGAGACTGCAGAGCGGAGCTTGCGTCCTCAGGTGAGAGGAGCTACAAGGACCTGCTATTTCAATAAACACCTCCCAGGACTAACTTGCCTTGTTCTCTCACTGTTTGTATTTCTTATACTGTTTTTTTTGCTTTTGCTGAAGAGTCTGAACAAAAGGCTTATGTTAGGCTGTAGCCATCTGCCGTCGTGTTGTCCTTGACCACAGCCAGCTAGCACAGAGATAAAGACACAGCCCTGCTATATTTATTGGCTAAATAAGAAAACATCTCCAGACAAACTCACCAGTGGCCAATCAGTTTACCTGGTGTTAACATACACCTCCAACATTTACAGTTGGAGATAAAAGCGCACCCACACCAGGAGCCCTCATGTTCATTACACACCAGAAAATAAAACTTGGATGTATGACAACTGGAGAGAGAGATGAACTATTCTTAGATCCTTATTACTAGTGGGGTAAGTTTGCCCTGGGGGGTGCCACCAGAGAAAAGGCTATGTTACCTAAATCTAAAGAGTTTATCCTCTGTACAGTGGCCACATTGTCAGACTTGGCTATGGCTACACACAATCACTGGCAGAATCAAAAGAGAGAGAGAAATGACGCCGTTCAGACCAACAGCTTAAATGTTGGGCTTATTTGCATCTCTGTATATATACTGTATTTTTTACTACGTGTTCATAAATTGTTTATCCATCACAGTATATATATTTATGTGTCTACAACTTGTTCTCATTACATATACATTTACTATGTTCCTCCACAACCATTTTACTATTACCGTATACCTGTTTACAATATTTTATTATATTTTGTTTCGTATTTTATTCCTTTATTGCTGCTGCAGCACTATTTTATGTCTAAGGCTACGTTCCCACTGCAGGCACAAGTGGCCCAAATCAGATTTTTTTTTTTTTTTTGCATATATGTGACTCAGATCTGAAAAATCACATTGAATCTGAACTTTTAAAATTCTGATTTAGGCCAGTTTCATGTTCAGTCCGAATCAGATACAGGTCTAATTTCTTTGCAAAGTGGCCTCAGTGTGAATATGGCTTTTACATCACTTTAGATCCACGTTCATCATGCGTGACCTGTTTACACCAGAATCAAATATGAGCCACATTTGTTTGTGAACAGAAACAGAAAATCAACAACGGTGAACGTAGCTTTAGATTCAAGAGACCACAGGTGAATATAACAACATTAACAATGGTTGTGGTCCATGAAAGTGTCCCTCTAAGCCATCTCTCCCCATCTAAATAGAATACATCCATCTATAATGATATGATATTAGTTAAACCTGTGTTAGAGTCGTTGTCCATTGACTCATTTTATGAATTTGTTGGCTTGTTGAGCAAGGAGAGTGTCTAGTTGCATTCTGCAGAGTTAAAAACACCTCCCGGCACAGGTGCAGAACAATCAGCAACAGATTAATCCACAAATTCATATCATGCATCAGCACACACACACACGCACATGCACACAGACGCCATGGATGTTCCTCTTCCCCACTCCTTCGTTTCCACTCCTTTGTGCACCTGCGTTTGTCAGAGGCTGGTCTTTCTCTCTCTCTCCTTCTGCTTCCTTCTTGTGTATAAGCATTACTATGGGAGAGTGTGTGTGTGTGTGTGTGTGTGTGTGTGTGTGTGTGTGTGTGTGTGTGTGTGTGTGAGAGAGAGAGAGAGAGAGGGAGAGAGAAAGTTTGTGTGTGGTCATGTCAGGAGATCAAGGCTGCGTTTTTCTTCCTGTTTTGGAAGAAATTATGAAGAGTTCTGTTCCTCTGCATGAAGTTCCCACAGTACAAAAAACCCACAACTCTGTATCAATACTAGAGACAACAATGCATGTGGAGACCAGAAGCTGAAGATGCATAAAGGAAGAAAATGACAAAAAAAATATTGTTGCGTAACTGTGTGTGTGTGTGTGTGTGTGTGTGTGTGAATGCGGAAAGAGCGTCCTTGCAAGCTGGCTGTCCTGCTGATGTGTGTGTAGTGGAGTAGAAAGGAATATTATGTTCATCGTTATCAAACTGTGCTCATCTTTCAACACAAAATATGAGACAGGAGACAAAGCAGATTCACGTCTGTTCCCCATAATTCTTTGTTTGTTGACATGACTTTGAAGATAAAAACAAGACAAACAGCCAGAAATAAGTAACTCCCACCTGTCTGTGTTATTTACTCCAAAACTGTGTAACAATGCAGACTTACTTTGAAAGTCTGCATTGCTATGAAAAAGATTTCTAATTGAAAAACTGACAAAATGTAGCAAAAGATTACCAAGACATTAATATTGTTGGTTAAATAATTAAAATGAAAATAAAGCTTTATTCTTTTTCTTTGCTACCAAAAGCAAATTTCATTTTTCAACTCCTTTTTTTGGCTTGGTTTTGGCACACAAAATCATGTATATGTCAAACATCAGTGAGAGAAGATTGTGAAGCCAGTTAACTGAAAACACTCGCACCACAAACCCCAATGGTCTAAAAAGTTTCCTATTGGACCATTTGTCCCGAAAACCCATTGCTCCAAAAATACCAACGCAGTATCACACCGAAGCGTGTAATACACACTCCGGTCCACTGTTACTTTTCACACCTATATGGGGCAAAATGTGATTCTGACGCGGTGTAACTGTAAGGTGAAAGCATGTTTTTGGAGAAATGGGCGATAACAAGCTGTAGGACAAATGGATACTATAATGGGCCCTCGGAACAATGGCGTGGCACCAGTTAAACACATGCCTTGTCAGCTAGTTGCATCACTGAAGTTAACTTTGCCCATTTACTGCACTACATACGGCAGCAGCTATAAACACTATTGTAGGAGTAACTGGAGTATTTGAGCCGGCAAGTGAATGCAAACAAAGCTAGCTAGCTAGAGCCACTTGGTAGATTTGGATTTTAATGTCTCATCCTTTATATTTTGTAAATGCAATGTAATTTAAAGGTGTGTAACATTTTGGAGGATTTATTGGTACAAATAATATCATATTCATAGCTATGTTTTCATTATTATAATCACCTGAACATAAGAATTGCTGTGTTACCTTTGAATGACCTTCGAAAAAAAGTGATTTCACATATATAATATATTTAAGTATAAACATTTTATTAGTGTTTTCCTTATAAGACTCAGCTTTAGGTGATAAACGAGGTTGTGAAGGATTGTTAGAGTGCATGAATAACAAATTCTAAACAGAGTCATATTCGAATTTCATTAGCATTTTATCCAGTACTAAACTATTTTCAGTGACTTGTGATTACTTGCTTGTGTGATTTGATTTGAAGGAGAGACTTTTTAAGGGTCAAAGTGAAAAAAAAAAACACAGACACAGATTTTTGGACACACACACACACACATAAACACACACACAACCCAGCAGAGACCTCCTACATCCTCATACACCCATTAAGCTTTTCACACGCCCCCATCATTCACCACTGCATGGCAGAAAAACCACCAAAGCACCTCACACTTCTTCCCTCTTCAACCTGGCGGTGAACCCAGAGTTGTGAGACGAAAAAAAAAAACAACCCATTCATGATATCAAATGTGGAGTGTGGGCTCTGTGAGAAGGCCTGAACACACGTGAACACAGAGGGAAACAACAGTGAGAGAGTGTGAGGAGAAGCAGAAGAAGAAGAAGAGAAACAACCTGGACTGTGGACAGACTGCGATGATGATGGTGATGATTCTCATAATGTTGATGATTCTGGTGATAAAGACAGCAACAGCCTCGGTGCCTGGCCCAGAGATGGACGTTAAACCAGGAGTGGAGACCAGCTTGGCCAAACGAACCCTGAGCTTCTGCTACCAGTTGAAGTTCGGGGTCACAGAGATTCCCTCCAGCATCTCCAGCAACACCACATGCCTGTGAGTACCTGTGTATTATACTGTCTATGGTGAGTACAGACAAACACAATTGTGGATGTTTACATTTTACTGGCTGGTTGAGCAGTTGCAGCTCTCAGAGAAATTGTTTGGGAATTCCTAGAATACTAATAGTACAAGTTGAAATGTTGAAATGTCAAAATTGAAGCAGCAAAATATTCAGACTTCTAGTTTCTAGTTTAGATGAAGCTCTTTGGTTGCACCCTTAATGCCTGGTAAATTCCCACGTCTCTGAAACTCCACGCCTCCATTTGTACTGCAGGTTTTCTGTTATAAATGTGTTGTGTCCAGTCCTGATGATATCAATATTTTTTCAGACTTTAGAAAGCTGGCTGTAGAGACAGAATACATTATACAGCTGTAGGTAGTTCACCTTGTGGTAAGTAAACTGACTTTCATGTGTAAAATCGATGCAGTGTCCCTCTACACAACTAAAACAGAGGTCAAGTGACATGGGTCGATATTACAGAGTACATCCTAAAATAGTATTTCTCATTCACTATACGGATGCAGGGGGTATGTCATGGATGATACAGTTAAAAAAAAACCTATCTCGTAATCTTTAAACCTCTCATTTAGATCATTCTTCCCTAATCCTACTCTTGGCTGAATTTTGTACTGAACTTGCCAATTCTGGTTTTATCATTCAGTTACTCAGAGAACGTATGCAAAGCATATCTGCTCATCTTCAGTGACTCCCAGTGTAACCACAGCTATCTACAGTGTATCCACAGGTTAAAGATGCTGTGTGGAGTTTTTTTTTGTTAACAAACAAAAGTTTACATTACAGTTTATATTCAAGGTTTCTCACAAAAACACTTTGTGTGTCACCTTGAAGTCTAACAAACACTGTAAGCACATTTAATTCCTCATAAAACATTTGCAAAGACGACTTTTTGTTATAAATTGCCGTTGTTTACATCCATATTTACAGGCTTACAGTTTTCTTAGTGATTACATCCGCGCGTCGTACCAGGTGACGACCAGCAGAAAAGCATAAATTGGTGGCAGGACTATGTATTGTGTTGTCCTCATGCTCCCAGCGCTGTCCACAAACAGCAATTATGATATGAATATAAACGTTAACATAAGCAGGTTAGCGAGACGCATTTATACAGGCTTCACAAACGCTGGGAAAAAAACAGCTGGTGTGTCTGTGGAGCGGGGCGTGGTCTGCAACCAGGCAATCAAATATTATAACAGAAAAAAATGGATTTAAGCGCACGTCAAGCTCTACATGAGTTAACTCTAGTTTCATTTCAAAGAGGTGGATAACTGAGTTTACTTACTTTAGGTCCACCAGCATCAAAACATCTAAAAACTACGAGAAAAACATGACGCAAGAGAGCAGCTTTTTTGCATCTCTGCCCCAAACAGTAGCACAACACCATCTAACTAAAGGTTGCCTACATAAGCTAACATTAGCCACCCTAAACTACTGGTCATACCAGCGCAAAGTAAGACTGTGGCAGTCATTTTGAATTTATTGTATGTTGGGAAATATGATTCTCTTACTTGGCATGCTAAATATGAAACTACCAGCAGCCAACTGCAAACTCAAATTGTTGTTTTTACACTTTCATTTTACAACATGTTATACAACACGTTAATTAGAGAGCGTTAGAAATGCTGGTAGACGACATTTTCGCAACTTCGGACGAGCCGGGCTAGCTGTTTCCCCTTTGTTTCCAGTCTTTATGCTAAGCTAAATTAGCCCACTCCTGGCTGTAGCTTCATACTTAGCGTACAAACATGTGGCTGGTATCAATCTTCTCATCTAACTCTCAGCTAAAAAACTGCTTGTTTCCCAAAATGTAAAACTTCCTATAAGAGTCATATAATAGTTCATAAGTTGTGTTGATGGTGTTGAAGGTACTGCAAGTGGTTTTCAGTCTTTTTGACACAGTGACACAGAGCTGGATGAGGCTGAGGGTGTAGTAAACACTGACTTGTTATTTTGGCCATTGAAACATTTTGAAGGAATCTCAAGGCCAGATAGGGGAAGGAGGTGGGATGGTGGCGTAAAGATTAGGATCACCTGAAGCCTTTGCACAAACATGCACTTAGACATACACAAAAGCCTAAAAACATTTGCATAAAAACAAAAAGCAGACAAACAAACAAATGCAGTACACCCACACACACACAAACACGCAAGGACGAACATTGTGGCAGAAGTAGCGATTATTACTGACTTCCCAAGGGACGTACTGTGAACTCCCAGGCGGCGATGTGTGTGTTCTCAAATGTTCTGCTCTGCTCGAAGGTCAAGGCTCAGGAACAGTGGAGATATTTACAAGTATGCAGCAATGGATGGCCTTTCCTGATGTCTTTTCCAACGACCAGATGCAATATAAGCTTGGGATCTTGTATAGAAATTCTGTACACAAAACAGTTTGCTTTATGCATTAAAGGACCCCCCCAATGTGAGTGAGTAACTGGTCATGGTCTTGCTGGTCTCACAAAACAAAAACTAGCCCCTTATGATTTCTAAGAAGTTTTCATCAGCGTAAAGTGTGTGTGTGTGTGTGTGTGTGTGTGTGTGTGTGTGTGTGTGTGTGTGTGTGTGTGTGTGTGTGTGTGTGTGTGTATCGCTGAGAGCTGATGTTAGAGGTTGTTTCTGCATCAACAGGGAAGTTAAGCAGACGGAGATCGTAGTGATTCCCCAGGGCGCCCTCAACAGCCTGCAGCACCTCAGGAAACTGTAAGTGTGTGCGCCTGTTGCTCATGTTTATTATTTGATGTGGAACATAATGAACTAAGGAGGTCAAAACACTCAAGATATGGATCCAAACAGCGGAGAGTATGCACCTTGATTTGGTTGATTGCACTTGATTTCTCCAAATCAAAAAAAAAAGGATTTTAGTATTATGTTTGGATTGAGAAATATAATTATCCCCTACATGCATAGTGTTTCTAATTGAGTTTACATTGCATATAAAATCCCTGAAACTAACGTAAAACAAGACAGCTCAAAGCTATTTGAACCTAGATGTTCAGAACCCTGTTTTCTCTACATTTCATGTTTCTTGTACCTTAGCACACAAGTGTCTCAAAAGCACTGTAGTACGGCAAACAACAAATGTTTCTTCCCTACCTCTAACCTTAGCACCATATGGGAGAACGACAAGCTGGAGAGTATCAATGAGTTTGCCTTCGCCAGCCTCTCTCAGCTCACCGATATGTGAGTATACAGTTTTCTAAAAGCCACCGCTCATGACGTGTAGGGATGCAGCAATACCAATATCAGGTCAGTTGGAAAGTGAGAAAACATTGTAAGAACTGTACTGGTATTATTAAGCACTCATATTGGTATATAGGTACTTGTACTTCTATTTGGTCTGAAAAAAAGTGGCATTGGTGCATCCCTACAGACGTATATATTATCCAACGTGCTTGTGTGTTTAGTCTTTGTTATGGAACAAGAAGTGCCGCCAACTCTGAGAAAGCTCCTCACCCAAACAGTTGAGGAGCAAGTACTGGGTGGTGGAGACACAATACGTCAACGTATAGGTGTGAATGAAGGCCTAACAACTGAGTTCTTTAATACATGTCAAATATTTCATTTATGCATTTGTGTTCCCCTTAGCTTCATCTCTGGGAATGTTGCGTTAAAAAATATAGGAGCTTTTGCTTTCTCTGATCTGCCTGAACTCACTGAGATGTAAGTACAACTGGCAGGATAATGACAGTGGTGAAAGCCTGTAATTGTATGTAATTTATGTTAATGAGTACATGACTGAATGTGTTTCTTTCAGAACCATAACAAAGTCAAAACACCTGACACACATCAATCCAGATGCATTCAAGGACATTGTGAAACTGAAGTATCTGTGAGTACTCAGCGAGAGTGCAGTGGGGAGGAATACTTTCTTCTAAAATGTGCGTTTTTAAAACTGATTGTGAGTCCAAAATAGGTCATGGGTGACAGGCCTACTTCTGATGGGCCCCCACATGACCAGAGACATCATTTTTTAATTAGCTTGGATCCCCTGGAAGAGAAATCAAGTGTCACACTTCATCTCATGAAATAAAAAAGAAGACGCTTTTTTCCATAAAGTGAGCTCACCCTCATTTCATCTTGTTACAAAACAAACTTTTTTATTAAAGGCCTGACTGACATTTTCATAACTGTTACTGTTATGTTTGTCCCAATTTGTGAGAACTGGGACACGTAAATAATATTAAATGAATTTAATTAAACTATTAAAAACTAGTTAAACTATTAAACTTTATTAAATGTCCATTAAATGCAGTGTATGTAAAAACTGTTCTTCATCATTTGTTTAAAAAAGGTTAAAAGTTATTGCTCTTGGAGGCTGAATAGAAAGAAGATTATATAAAACCTAAAAGAAGCAACAGAAAGTCAGTTTGATTACTTTTAACACGTTTTTATGCATTCCTGATAAGAAAAACATTGTTATTTAATAGAGATTTTTACAGTTTTGTTGCAAAATATAATATCCAAATCTTGCTTTTCATGAGTAGTTCCCCTGACTTTTCATCTAGCACCTCCATCAAGTCAAATAAGTTTAGTTATTTAGTTAATTTAAGTATTTATGACATTCCCTGTTCTTTGTGTTGTTCTTATGTTAGCATGTTGAACTATGACGCTGAAAATGGTAGATATTATACCTTTTAAACACCGACGCTATGTTTGCCTTAGCATTGTTAGGATGTTAGTATGTTGACTTTAGCATTTAGTTTAAACCAAAGCAACACAGAGCCGCTAGCAAACCCTCAGTCTTGTTTTGAAATAAAGAAGTTTCCAAAAACCTGTTTTGTCTGAGTTCTGGATAATCAGTGTTTTACAGACTTGTTATGTATTTTTGCCAAGAAAACAAAAAGAGGACATTTTTTTGGAACAAGAAGCTCTTTAAATGTCTGATTTATCTTTCTACCACCTGAGCTTCTCCCTGAATTGTCTTGGAAACTCTTCACTTGTTCATTTGTATCTCGGTCAACACAATGAACGCTACATTGTCTGATTTTATCACAATGACTCACAGCAACAGTGAGTGTCTGTTGTTCAGAGGTCGCATTGTGACTGTAGTAACATTTGCTGCTTAATCTGCACATCACAGGACCATCGCCAACACCGGACTGAGGCTTTTTCCAGACTTCACCAAGATCCACTCCACAGGCCTGCTTCTGTTGTAGGTCTCGACGCAATGCACAACACTAATAATGCTGGACACCCACACACCATTATTCCCACATGCATTTGAACATATAGGCTATTGTATGTGCACACAATTGAATACGCCCGGAAGAAATCACACCATTCAACATGTAACACTGCAGCTTAAACCTACGCACTGAGTACAAAACAGAATATCTGTCTTTAAAATTCCATCTTCAAACTCTCTCCCATCTGACTTCAGCTTCCAAAAGAAAGTGGATTTAAAGGGGATTCATGTATTTCCTAATATATTGAACATATGCATGCTGTCAAAATGTTCATATAGTATTTACTTCTCAGTTGTTTATAATGTGTTTTTGATCTTGTATGCTGCTTAGTGACCTGCACGACAACAGCCACATAGAGAGAGTCCCCGCCAATGCTTTCAAAGGCCTCTGCACTCAAACTATCCCTGAGATGTAAGAGATTCATCACTTTTTTAGAGACACACACACACACACACACACACACACACACACACACCACCCTCACACAGCTCCGAGTGGGCATTACATACGCAATGACGAATGTTCCCTGAAATGCTCCCTGCTCTCTGCCTTCTCCTACTTTTCTCCTTTTTCTGCATTTCTAACACTCTTATCGCTATATATCACCTCATTTCCACCCCATTTTCCTCTTTTTAAGTTGTAAATCCTGCTGAAGATCACATACAGGTCTATATAAAGGCCTTCTGAATCAGGCTTAGTAAGTCAGAGTGATGTGTATTTTAATTTTGCTCATAATTTCTTTTTTGTTTTTGTGAAAAATCCAGATTAAAAGTTTGTATTTTTAGTATTTTTTACTATAGTATAGTATAAAACTCAGAGTTATTGGCCAAATGTAAAGTCGATTGAGCAACAATTGTGGAAAGTAACCAAGTATTTCCATTGTATACTACTTTACTTCCTATTATTTACTACCACTCCACTATATTTGAAAGGGAAATTCTACTTTTGACTCTGGCAGGTGTAGTTACTGTTATACTTTACAAATAAATATTTTACATACAAACAATGTCTTCAGCTTATAAATTGTGATGCAATTTTAAACCTAAAATAGTTCAAAGTATCTCCCTCTCGACTAGTTACAAGTAAGATATCAGGATATTGACAATAAACACAAAACACACAGTAAAAGTTCTAATTAATTTGACTATCATGTTGTAAGTAAGTCTGATATTGTGACAGTTCTAGTTGCAACATTTAAGATCCATCTTAGTGATGCAACATGTAATAATAATCCAATACGTGCAGTAACAAAACACATAATAATTACTTAATCACTTTTAATAACTAAATGTGTTTAATAATACTTTTTTGTAACATTTTGACTTATAATAGACCACTTTTAAACTTTAGTATCTACTTTTACTCAAAGAGTTTTATTAGAAAATTGACATATTGAGTCATATTTGTCTGACTGTCAACAACAACAAAAATCCACCTCTAAAGCTCCTCTTTGTTTAATCCTTACAGAAAAACTACACATCGTCGTTTAAAGGGGGGTAATAAATATAAATATGTTTTGGCCTGGACCAGCAACTTCCTGGAGTTTTCTGCTGGTTGCCTGGCAACTGCACAGAGGCAAGAAATAGTCTGACACAAAGTCCCCGTAAAAAACGGCAAATAGTTATTTTTATACTTCAGCTTTTGGACATATGAAACACAATATAATGTGTTAATTAGCCAGCTTTAGAGGTGCTGGTAGACATATTTTATTACATTTGGAGAGAACCGAGGTAGCCTTTCCTCCTGCTTCCTGTTTTAAGCTAAGCTAAGCTAACTGACTGATGCCTGTAGCTTTATATTTTAACAGACATTAGAGCTCGACACCAGAACTCGGTAAGAAAGTCTATTTCCCAAAATGTCAAACCTCCCTTTAAGTAACATTTTAAACGCAAGAGTATTTTTAAATTGTGGTATCAATCGGAATATGTCTTCCACCACTACCGAAGCTATCCAAGGTCCAGAGTTGTCCAGTTAAAAAGTAGAAAAGGAAGAAAGAGAAGGAGCAGGAGCAGGAGAAGTCTTACATAGTAATAAATAAAGTTTATTCGGTGCATTCATACAGCTTTAGTCACTGAGAACAAAAGAACTGCACTCACTAAAATTAGCTTTGATAGTTCAGATAAGTTTTCTGCTGGGACTGTTCTGTGTTGGAGCCACATGACTATAATTTGGCTTCCTTTTCTAATGACAGACGGCTCACCAGAAATGGCATCAAGGAGGTGGCAAGTGACGCCTTCAACGGCACAAAGATGCACAGATTGTGAGTCACGGCCAGAGCCACAATTGCAAACAGAAGATTTACAACAAAAAAAAAAACAGCTCACATATTTAATTTCTCTCTGCTCTCCTCCCTCTCTCTTAGGTTCCTAAGAGGCAACAAACAGCTTACTCACATCAATCCCAACGCCTTTGTGGGTTCCAGTGAGTTGGTGGTACTGTAAGCATGACATCTAACAGTAACTCATGCCTACATGATTCACCCTCCTCATCATCACTTATTAAACTTGGGATGTAGGAGATACAAGAGACTATGTGGCATGTGTGGGGAGGCTCAAAAGAAAAAACGTAGAAACGTGCCAGATTTGAGGTAAAAATAGACGGCAGTAATTACCTGTGTGTTCCCCAAACACAGAGACACCTATTTCCATTGAAGTAGCAATCAGAAGGGAAAAAACTGTATTTGTTTTTCTTCTGGGCTGCCATTTTTGTAATGTTTTTTTCACTTCACATCCCAGTAATCACTTGGCAAGCGGTGTCTTGTCCCATAAATCTTCTGTTCAGGAAATAGAAGTTCTAGTGTTTTATTCTAATGGCGTTTTTTACCGACATAGATTTCCTCTCTTAATCCAGAGAAAAATAAGTTAACAGTTTTTATAAACTGGTCAAATGACTGTTAGCCAATAGGGAAGGCCTCTGTTGAACATTGATTCTGAACTTAAAACCGCTGGTACTCTTCTTTGTTTGTGTAGGGACATTTCCCAGACAGCCCTCAGCTCCCTGCCGGACTACATCCTCGGTGGACTCCAGAAGCTGATCGCAGAGTCCGCCCCCAATCTGAAGGAGCTTCCTCCTCTGGAGCTCTTCACCAAACTGCACCAGGCCAACCTGACGTACTCGTCACACTGCTGCGCCTTCCATAACATACACAGGAACAGGCATGCAATGCATTATCATCAAACTGTCTGAAAGGAATTGATTGATTTACAATTAATCGACAAGTACAACGTGCAAGATTCATCCGTAAATGGCTAATTCAATGCTGTATTAATATCTCATTATGACTCCATTACTGGTTAATTACCATTAACTAACATTGTAGTATTGCCCACAGAGCCTTAATATGAACTCTAGAAGAATGTGTAAAAAAAAAATGAATATTGTATTAGAGGAAAAACTATGAAAAATTAAAGAAATTGTATGTGTTGTTGTGTGTTAGATCAAAGTGGAACTCCCTGTGCTCCCACCCCGATGCTCAGGGCAACCTTCACTTCTACAGGGACTACTGCTCCAACTCCACCTCCATCATCTGCACCCCAACTCAAGATGACTTTAACCCCTGTGAGGATATCATGTCCGCCGTCCCCCTGCGGGTCCTCATCTGGATCATCTCCATCCTCGCACTGCTGGGGAACACAGTGGTACTTCTGGTCTTATTAGGTATGAAATGGGACAATCATTTCTGTGGCAGAATTTTATGGCATTTTCATGGACCAATTCTTTGTGGAGTTTGTATTTAATTTTCTTTGAAGAATAAGCATAGTCTTTTCTTTATTCCTGCCTGCACATGCCAGATGTACTGCTTTTTAGAGGTCGAAAGCACAACAAAAGATATTTATAGAGATAAATTGAGATTCTTTCCATTCAGTATTTCCATTTGTGAGACTTCAATACATCTGAGAAGCAAATGTACTTTTACCTCCACAGTTATCTAATTGCAGTACGTTGTAGTTTACAGATTCAACATGAGACTAATACATAACTGTATTACAGCGTATACATCTTTTCTTTCCTCATTCTGTCTTCATCCTCCTCTCATAATCTGTTAACTTCCTTCCTTCCTTATTATTTACTTTCTGCATGCCCTCTTTGTGCTCTTTCTTCCATTCTTTCCTAATTTCATTCCTTCTTATAGTTTCTTGCTTTTGCCTTTGCTTATGCTCTTATTTCTTTTAATTAGTTTAAAAGGTATAAGGTTCTCACATAACAGCAAAACTAAGCTTTATTCTCTTTTGCCACAGAATAGCAGCCGGAGGACATTTTACTAGTAATACTTATTTCTTGTTGTACTTGTCAGAGTCAATTTTCTTTCTCTAATTTCTTTCTGTTTTTCAGGCAGCCGCACCAAACTGACTGTTCCCCGTTTCCTCATGTGCCACTTGGCCTTTTCTGACCTCTGCATGGGCATCTACCTGGTAGTCATAGCAACTGTAGACATGCTCACTCAAGGCCAGTACTACAACCACGCTATAGACTGGCAGACGGGCCTCGGCTGCAGTGTTGCGGGCTTCTTCACGGTGTGTATAGCTCTACATAAATAGCAACACTCATACATGCGCATGTTTAAATAGAAATTTGTGTGTTTGTGTGTGAATTGCAGGTGTTTGCCAGTGAGCTGTCAGTGTTCACATTAACAGCGATCACCCTGGAGCGTTGGCACACCATCACACATGCTCTGCGGCTCGACCGTAAACTTCGTCTGAGACATGCCTGTATTGTCATGACAGCAGGGTGGATCTTCTCCGCCGTAGCTGCTTTGCTTCCCACAGTCGGAGTCAGCAGCTACGGCAAGGTGGGTGCTTTAGGCCACTCATTCACCGTTCAACTCCTGTGCTCTCCAGTTTGTGATGTTATGTTGTTATGTTCCCCTTTAGAATTTGTTCAGGTCCCGGTAATTGAGGATGCAAAATGGAGCATGAACTCAAAATGACCTAGAATATGCTTTAAAATGTTCAAACATTACGTAAAAACAACAAATGTGATGTAATGTTTTGTATGTATGAGATGACGTTCAGTAGATATCAGGGCTGCAACAGTTATTTTCATTGGTGATTAGCCTGCCAATTATTTTCTTAATTAGACACCATAAAAAGTGAAAAATAGTCCGAGGTTATGTTATCAAATATCTTGTTTTGTCTGCCTAACAGCCCAGAATCCAAAGCTATTAAATTTACTTTTATGTAAAACAAGAAACAACAACAAATTCTCCCATCTGAGAACCTGGAGCCATCAAATATTTGGCATTTTAACAATTAGTTGATTATTACAGTAGTTGCAGATTAACTCTAATCAGTTAATTTATTGAGCAAAAATTATGCAAAACCCTGAATATGATGCATTTCTGAGATGACATACTCTAAAATTAACCAGTAACAACTTGTGTCCATTTATTTTTTCCTATAGTAGTTGTAATAGTAATAGAGTTTTCAGGCTATTTGTCTAGGATTAAGAAACTGGGCAATAGCATGAATAACTTGTATAATGGCTTGATTGTGTGATTTTTTAACGTGTGTGTTTGTTTGTGGTGCAGGTGAGTATCTGTCTGCCCATGGACGTGGAGTTTCTGGGGTCTCAGGTCTACGTGGTGTCTCTTCTCCTCCTCAACATCCTGGCTTTCTTCTGCGTGTGCGGCTGTTACCTCAGCATCTACCTGACCGTCCGCAACCCCTCGTCAGCGCCGGCCCACGCCGACACACGTGTGGCCCAACGCATGGCAGTCCTCATCTTCACCGACTTTGTCTGCATGGCTCCCATCTCCTTCTTTGCCATCTCAGCAGCCCTCAAGCTCCCTCTCATCACAGTGTCAGACGCCAAACTCCTGCTGGTCCTCTTCTACCCGATCAACTCCTGCTCCAACCCCTTCCTGTACGCCTTCTTCACACGCACCTTCAGGCGGGATTTCTTTCTCCTCGCAGCTCGCTTCGGCCTGTTTAAGACCCGAGCACAGATTTACCGGACAGAGAGTTCCTCCTGTCAGCAGCCGGCGTGGACCTCTCCAAAGAGCAGCCACGTGATGCTGTACTCCTTGGCCAATGCATTAAGTCTAGAAGGGAAACCAGAGTTCTGACTGTTATTCAAAAGCAGATACAAACTTTTTGCTTAATTTTGTTGGTTTTCATGTATCTCTGATATGTTGCCAGTATTTTTGGCCAGCACATCAGCTGCTGATTCTTCAGACCTGACCTCAGACCTGCAACAACACAAGTATCCAGTGTCCTTCTTAAACCATGTGTGACAACTCTACTGTATGTACAGTGTGTATAGAAAACCAAGTAATAGCTACAGAACAACTGCAGATACTTTGACCAAATCTAGGTCAAATGGCTGTCCCAGATAATTCCTTGTGTTTGTTTTAATTTGATTGGAACGCCAGATGGGTGGAGTTTACTGCATAATAACAATTGAGTTCACAAGTAAATGTAGGAGGAGTATCAGAGGAGGTCAACTGACTTTTACTTTCATGCATTGTCTTATATAACATCCATCTGGTGTCCCAAGATAATGAAACAAGCTTAAATACTTTGAATCTGTTTAATAAAGGTTTGACACTCGGGATATCAGCATATGAACGTCAAGAAATCAACATTCATTTAACATTCAACGTCATGATTGAATGATATTCATTAAGAAGCACACCGCAGGGACTTACTGTTTAATAATCTCCTCATACACCGTCTGCTGTAGCTCTACATCCCTCCACATCCCTCTTACCCTTCAGTGTCCATATTTTTTTAATGAAGGACGTGTAATTATCTTTGTAATGTAATTAGGTTGTGTAAATGAAAGTACCACTGTTTTGTATATGTGTGTTTTGTACAGAATATATCTTTGAGATGTAATTTCATGTCATTTATAAATTTGTTTATTCAATCCTCTTTGTTTGAGTATATTTTGCATGAGTATATGAGGAGTAGTAACAAAAGGTAAAAAGTCTCACACACGCACTAAATTGAGCTGAAATGGCGTCCTTCAGAGCATCCAAAGCTTTCAAGGACAAAGTGACCCTACCAACCCTTTGCTCTGTGCGCCAGGGTGGGTGGGCGGTTTGTGGGAGACTACACAGCTGTCCGTTCTGCTTATTACAGGAGAGTGGATATGGCAGCTAGATAAGGCACACACTCAGAAGCAAGCAACCCAGGGTTTCAAGGCTGCAGCTGCGAGAAAGAATCTGAGTCTATCTCATTGATATGGATACACTGCCTCCTACATGCCAGCATGGAACATGTGCATGCATTTATAGTCTTTAACCAGCAGGTGGTGCTAGGGATGCAGGATTTATTGTGATCTCTGCTCTGTTGTGGTCTAATGTCAGCCTCTCAACAGCAGTGGTGGAATGTACATGGAACAAAGTACATTCACTCAAGAACAAACTTCAGATACTTCAGTTATTATTTCTATTTTATGCAACTTTATTACTTTTATTTCACTACATCTCAGAGGCAAATATTGTACTTTTTACTGCATTACATTTGTCTTTCAGCTTTAGTTAATTGTTACTTTTCAGATTACCCTTTTTCATACACTTCCTATCCTGTGAAAACCATGAATCTCCAAACAATTGATGGCTCCAGGTTCTCAGATGTGAGAATTTGCTGTTGTTTCTTGTCTGACATATCTTTGGATTCTGGGCAGTTAGTTGGACAAAACATCTGATATTTGATAACGTAACCTTGGAGTATGTTTCACTTTTTTTGGTGTCTAATTAAGAAAATAATTGGCAGGCTTATCACAAATGACTGTTAGTTGCAGCCCTATATCTACTGAATTAGATGTTTTTCTAATAAACTGAAGGATTAAGTGTTCCTTTATGGGTGAAGACAATTCTTTCTGCTGGAAATTTTAAGAAAAGTGGAGGTTTTAGAGATACATTGTTCTCACAGGACAGTAATACTACAATCATATGATGATCTTTTAGAATATGATGCATTACTGTAGATTAAACTGCCAAACATAACATACACATTAATACACCAGCAATATTAATCCAAAAACATCATATCAAATATTAAAACACTAACAATGACCATTTTCTACAAGGAGTATATTAACTTTTGATACTTTAATTAGATTGTGATAATAACACATATTTTTTACTGACTTCCTCCACCACTGCTCAGCTGAGGCAAATGAGGGTGACAGCAAAGCACACCTTAAAAAGGTGACATGAATATATAAAAACATATATCAATATGGAAGTTAAGTATTAACAGAACAATTACAATGACAATATACTATTCTCTGTCTTCACAGCTGGTGGCATTGAACTATATTCATCCATTATCTATAACAGCTAGTCCTTTGGAGGGTCGTGGCCATCAATATTATATATATGAAAAAGAGACTGTACACAGAGTACACTGCTGTCTGCACCAAGGAATAATATCATTTCTGAGAAAGGCTGGTGCAAGTTTAGACTGATACTGTCTTAGTAAGGTGTTGCTTTGCAGCTCAGGACTAAAACAACTCCTCTTTCAGACAATATCACATGCAGTGCAGACGATATTTTAAGTTTCCAGACAGAGCAGCACTGTGGAATAATGTGACACATTCAGGCCTGCAGAAAAGAAGCCATTACCCCCAATATGTGCTGTTGTTTCATATGAAAGCTGTCCCTGTGAAGCAGTATCTCATGGCATCCAATCTAATGTATTTCATTTAATTTCAGGACTTAGATACATCCTTTGTTGTGAATCTTATCTTTGTACGTCCAGTGTACAATTGGTGGTATGAAGTAACATTCAGGGCTTCTTGTTGACCTTAATTTGTTGCATGTCACACACCTTTTTTACTCTTGACTGGAAACTATCTAATAAAGAAGACCACAAAAAGTAATAGGATCCAACCAGCAGGATGTTAAAATTGGCAGAATGTAGTTTATTTGAGAACAACCTATGAGGACAATTGTGTTAAAATGGGGAAAGAAAATTGTAAAAGTCAAACTGTTTCTGCAGACATTCAGTTATTTCTTCTATGTTTTCCTCTCATAACATACAGTATCTGTTTACCCAAGCACTAAAAATGTAATCATCCTCAAACTTATATTCACTGATTACTAAAAATGATTAATCGCAGCTTTGGTTGAATGTTGAAAGGTGTGGTAAATGCTCCTGCATACAGATCTTCTCCAGACACAATGTGATTAAAGAAAATTAAAAAAAAAAAAAAAATTCCAGACCTTGTAACATTATAACAAGTCTCAGTGTGATGCTGTCTTTGATATCATGGCCTAATCTTCTGCAGACAAACAATGCCCTCTTGTGGTCCAATTACATAAAACGATACTAAATGACTAAACATGTTTATTAAAGTGATACACCCCCAAAAATCTATAATTTAAAACACAAACATCATCTCCTATGAGCTTAAAAAAAAGATTGTAATTTGGTTTCAGCCTCAGTTTGTCATGCGAGTTCAAATGGATGGCGACTGAAATAGTCAGATTGTTCCAGTGTTTAATTATAATTAATAAATACATTGATATATTTTAATTATTGATTAATTCTATTTGTATTTAAATGATTAATTGTAAAACATAAAGACAAAAAGAGCATTACATTTCCCATTTGATCTCATTCTGCGTTTAAATTTAATTAATACATTTAATTGTAGAATTAACTTTAAAGAGACTTTTAATTTCTAACTTTTTGTTATCCCATCTACTAATGCATCTGCTCCATCTCACAATGTAATATTGTGTTATGCGTCTCCTGCTTTAACATTGACATTTCCATTTTAAATATTTTAAAGTGTGAAGGCTTTCTAATAGAAACATTTCCTGCAACATAGCCCAAGACTCTGCCCTCCAGTATGTCCTAAACACCCATTATTTTCACTCACATATGGCAAATAATACATGCAAAATTCAACAATTATTATAATTACAGATTATTCAAAGTTATACTCTTTGTTGTTTATTAAGTAGTGCTTGTTGAAATCTGTAGCTCAGGCCTCCTGTACCTGTGACAACTGGGACTAAAGCTGTGAAATGTACATTACTGGGTGCCTGTAGAGTCCACTGGTGTTCACATGCATTGATCAAAACACCGCTTGACCGATCCCGAACCCCAACAGAAAGGTTTATCAAGTCTTTTTGCTACGAGTCTCCTGATTGGCTGCCGCAGGAGGAGCTTGTAAGACGGCGAATGTGATTGGTCGACCGGACCCTCTGCTCCTTTTTCTCTCTCTCTCTCTCTCTCTCTCTCTCTCTCGCGATTGTTTCCCGTGTGGGTTAATGGCTCCTCCTGCTACAGACTGAGACGGAGCTGGCACCGAGCAGCGATACGGGGGGAGCTGTGACACCACGGAGGAGGAAAAAAAAAAAAAAAAAAAAAAAAAAAACAGCGATTACACCCCAAATACCAGCGGGTTTTTGATCGCAATTGTTTGGGTGTATCTGGGGGGGAAAAAGGCTGTCCGGGTGGTAGTTTGGGTCGAGGGCTAAATTTAGAAGCGGGCGGTCGAGGATAGCAGTCTATTTTTCCAACAACCAACTCCCCAGATGAACTCCGTCAGAGCCACCAACAGGAGACCCAGGCGAGTGTCGAGGCCGCGCCCGGTGCAGCCCGAACGGAACAACGGGGATAGAGGTGAGCTAGGCCGCAGTCCGCTAACGATTAAAGACGAAGCCGTGTCAGCCCCCCCCCGATAACACCCGTCACGTAAGCCTCGTTTTGTTTGTGTGTGTGTGTGTGTGGCCTGTTCTCCACTCCTTGGCGACGGCGAGCTCAGGCAGGAAAACCCGAGGCTTCTCGCTCTGTGGCTAAGGCCAGGCCGCGCTTTGTTTGGCTTGAGTGATCGGGAGCTAGCTCGCACCGCTAGCTCACCAGGGTTAATATGGGGGAGGAGGAGGAGGAGGAGGTTGTCTTCGCCCTCAAACGTAATGCGTATGTAGCTATACGGTCCACATTTATAGCTCTTATTCAGGTAACCTCAGCTGGGAGGCGAAGGGGATTTACTCCTCACGCTTTCAAGCCCCCAATTCCTTGCGCGTCCTGCTCGGCCGTGGCATTCCCAGCTGTCAGTACCGATTCCGAGGGTGTAAATGTGCGGTGTCTTTGGGAACTGCCATTTTTGGGGTGTAACGTTAACAAAAACATTAGCAGCGAATAGAGGAGGGGGGGGTAATGCTAGTTAGCTGCCCCGGCTTCAAGAGGCCACACAGATCAGCTGTGATAGATGATACGGTGTGTTTTTTTTTATTTATTTATTTATTTATTTTTTTTGTTGTTGGTTGAATTCACTGTGTCCATTTTCTACTTTAGTTTGAAGCTAACGTAGCTAGAAGATTGAACCCGCATCCCCTTCCTTGTTCGCGGCGCTTGCTAGCCGTAGCTCGATTTGTTTACACCGCGGATTTGCCAGCTACGCAGTTCAGTTTTTAGCCATTAGCCGCACTTCTCATCGACTTCATATGCGGCCCTTTTTTTTTTTTTTTTTTTTTTTGACAGTGCCATAAAAGATGAGTGTGATGTAGCTCACGCAGCACACAAGGCACAGATACACACAGCCCGATGTCATTTGGGAATGACTAGACATGAACGACTAGTAATGTGGCTGCAGAGGGGGGGGTGCATCTGCCATTATCAATCACTAACCTTTGTCTGCCTTACCACCAACTATTACCCTGTCTGTTAGCCTGCGCAGTGTGAATACTGCATGTGAGCTGAATGCACACCATTGTGTCATTAATGATAAACAGTGTTTGCTGCAATAACTGGATCAATTTTTTTTGTAGTTGTGCAAATGAACAAAAGAGAGGTGATTAGGCATCTCAGAGAAATACCCTGTGTTGTTTTTATATTTTTTTATTGTATGGCCTTGCTCTATGCTGCAGCTTTGTGCATTGAACTGCCTGTTTAGAAAATGGTGTA